CTAGTCAGGGAACCAACGCATTCGAGACACGTCAAAAGAAGGTGTAAGAGAATCCAGTATACCAACCTGTTCTCCTACCGGTAGCAAGTTCTGTCCACCATACATGTAAATGTTGAAGGAGCTTGCGTCCGGCGCCGAAAAGACAACAGCACAGGGGTTAACGCGCACTTGAGGCTTCTCGTTCCCAGACGTCTCCTGATGATACCACTGGCTGCTCGCGATATTGTACACGTCGATCGTGGTCATAGACGAGAAGGCGTCGGTGGTATCGTTGTCACCGACCACGTCGCCGCCAAGCCCCAGCAAGATGCCGCCTGGTCCCCAGCCGGGCACATACACGAGGACGCCGTCCGCGCGTTCCGCGAACCCGTCTTGGTTCTGATCTCCAGCCCACGTGATATTGCGGTATGCGCCGCCGTCCGGCGCGCCCGAGTTCCGGAGTGAATCGACTTGCACATTTGCGTAGCCCGGATGCGTGAACTCGAGGAGGCTCTTCAGGTATACCCGGGGGATCTGGTTGGACCATCCCGGCGTTGTCGCCCAGTCAAGGTGCCCTCCGAAGTACCAGCTCAGACCTAGCTCCGGGACCGATACGCCTGAACCTTCTGCGGCGCGCTGCACGGGTGCGCCACCTGCGTCGGAAAACTCGCCAGCAGACGTTTTCAGGTCTTGGAATTCCGTCCAGGTGGAGGATGCTATGTCGTACATCCACATTGAGACGGGCAATGGCTCGGATGACGGAAAGTCGAACTCGCCTCCGTAGAGGTACAGGCGGTCGAAGTCGTTCCAGAGATATCCTAGCGACACGGCCGGTGGCCCGGAGGGCTGGGGCATCTCGCGTACGGATGGAGAGCTGATATCCCATGGCTTTGTGAGATCTACCGTGATGAAGTCGTTGGCTACTTTTGTTAGCGGTGGACTTTTGGGTTGAATCACTTAGTACGTACTCCATGTATTGGTGGTCTGGTCGGTAGTCGTCTTCGCTCGGCCACCATAATAATAGAGCGTACCGTTCAGTACAGCACCTATTACTATTAGCATCCGTTTGATCCATATATCCGGTCTAGAAGTACTTACTTTGCCCAGCCCATCTCTTGCACACATCCGTTGAGCTATCCGCACGATCATCTAGTACAACTCTTGCCACGGGTTCACGAATCATATCCGCATCTGCGCCGCTCACTTCAACCTTATGACGGCCATTATTATAGCTTATAGCAGGAAGAACAACAGCGATTAAGAGGGCGGTTAAGGTAAATCTGCTTAACCCTGCTATCCGAGCAGGAGGTGCAGTTGCAGCCGATTTGATCTTCGGTCTTTTCTCCGGTATCAACTTCGAGAGCCACCCGGACTTTTCCCTTGTCGGTTCCCCTTCAACAGAGCCTTTACGCTCGTACGCCGAGTCCGACAGTCGCCTCTTGGTCTCGCTCAATTGTTTCTCCTCAGAACTCTGCCTACCAGCCGGTTCCTCAACATTGTTCCCATCGCAAACATCATCCAGCCCAACTTCCCGGAATACCGACTTTCTCCCTTTTCGAATTTTACCGCTTACGGGAAATGCCATTAATCGCGAGCCCTCTTCCAACCTGTCGGAGGTAACTTGGGAGTTGAAACGCGGCCGTTCGAATCTTGGCCGCTGTCCGCCTAGATCCGAAGTGCTATGTCGAGCTAGGGAAGATGTCATAACGAGAGGATACCATGAGAGTGTCTAGCTGGATAGTTGTCATTATGTGGCTCGTGATACAAAGGTGAGAGAGAACGGCATGAGCAGCATGAGGTCACAGCAAGCTTTTAATAGTTCCATACTCTACAAGGGGTGCAATTCATTGGCTCGTTCATTAACGATCGTCACCTAGCTGTGGTATCATAGTTAATTCATTGTTATTAACACCCGAGCTGTGGTGCTGGCCAGGCCTAGATGGCGACAATACCCTTGGCAGCTCCGTAGCAGGGGGACGGATGGATTGACCAAAGCTCAACTACATCATCGCACTACACTATACATAGTAGTCTATACCGATCTCATGGGTGCAATCCTCATGTTACCACGTTGGATAATTAAATCTACCCCGAACTTGTGGCGAGGCATTCATTGCCGTTTTAGGCCTGCCAGTCAGAAATATCATCATTTGATTGGTTCTTATTAATGCAGGGCATCAGAAAAATGACGACATAAACTCCCCGATCTGGTTTTTGCACCAAAAAGCTGTTAAGTGCTGGGATCTCTCATTCGTAGGTTGTCGGGGCATAAGCTCCAGCCGATTATGCAGGGCATCGAGCAATACCTCGAACAACCACCGCCAACCGCCTTGGTTAAGCCATATTCTCTTACGCGCTACCTACAATATCGCATCTATTATAGGTGGTACTGGTAACAGTATCGAGCAATTCCAACTCGGAAATATGTCTGAAGGAGGAATGGCGTTACAGTTAGCATTTACGTCAGCCTATGTAGGGAAACATTCGTGAAAAGACGACCACTACATATTACTTCATTTCCACTCTGCCAAACCTTTATTATCTAAGAGTCAATAATCTTGATCTTGATCTAACATGAAGCATCCATCAAAGCCTAGATAGATCGCGACACATCCCACTGTTGCGGTCGGCGCGCTTGCAGGTGATCAGATCGTAGCGTATATAGTGTCCAGATCTATTTCCTCTCTATATCTTTTCTTAGTCCCTCAGCCTCTGCGATGCTAGCAGACCTGATGCTTAGGCCTCCCTATCGTCACAAACTCGGCAATGTTCTCCCCACACGTTCGACTATAATTATCCAACGTTTCGTCCGCGTACCAGGCCAGATGCGGCGTAGTAACCAAATTTAGCTCCGCCGTATCTGGTGTGAGCAAAACATTGTTGCCCGGTTCCGCGGGCTCCTGAGAGTAAACATCCGTGCCGGCCCCCGCGATCCTTCTTTCCTTCAGCGCAGAGATAAGAGCCTTCTCGTCCACAATTCCACCTCGCGACACGTTGATCAGCAAGCTGTAGGGCTTCATCTGATGGAACTCCGCCTCGGAGATGAGGTTGAGGGTCTCCGGCGAGCGCGGGAGGCAAACTATCAAGACCGAGCACTCGCGGATTACCGTCTCGAACGGAACGCGACCCTCGGGCGCCGGAACCCCTTTACGCCCGGCAACGACGGTCTTCATGCCCAGTATCTTGGCCTTCGCCTCGATATTTCTCCCGATAGCGCCGTAGCCGATAATCCCGACGAGCTCTTCACGGGCTGTCCTCGGCGGCTTGCCATCGAGTCCGTCCATGGTACTTTGCTGTGAGCCTTTGGTGACCCAGTCACCAGCACGCGTGAGTGAATTAGTCAGGATGATGGAGCGGCGCGTCGAGAAATATAACGCGAGCACATGCTCGGTGACTGTGGTGACGTTGCAATGCGGCGTGTTGCCTACAACTATTCCCCGTGCCCGACACGCCGCCAAGTCGACAGCGTCCGTGCCTGAGGCAATCACGGATACCACTACCCAAGGATTTCAGTCAGTAAGTAGTCGTAGTCTATGTTGAACGTTCTTCGATAAGGGAAACAGCAAGGCCCAAGGCAGTCATACTCTTTAGTTGCCGGGATACCTCTGTACTCAGAATCTCTGCCGTTAATGGCAAGATTGTCATGATGATGATATCAGCATCCCGAATCCGCTCCGCCACCTGGTCCGGCCTCGTTCGCTCGTAGGTCCGGAACTCGCAGGTATGAGGTGCCGGAAGAGTGAGGTTGGGCAACGGACAGAAAAGCGTCTCTAATGCGACGATGACCCAGTGCGTTTGCGGCGGCGCCATCGTGTGCCAGGTACTACTCGCTAAAGCGGCAATGTAGGGTTTTGAGTATAAATGGGTTTTGAGCCCTTTAAAGTTGGTTGACAAATTCTAGACAGTAGATTTCCTGAAATATGCTCGAAGTTCCGGGCCCGGCGTCGGATATGTCGTTGAAGGGCGTATTCAACACGTTGGGGGCAAAAAAGTCCCCACACAGTCATCTATTTAGTGATTACTTATTTCTGCCCTACCCGTGAACAATATAATAACTCAGTTGCCTGTTGGCAGTGAGTATTTCATCTAGTATCTCCTCTCATATCGGAGTTATGGCGGCTTATGCTTAGTATATCTAGCTCGTCCTTGGATACCTTGAACCCCTTCGGTTTTGAATAGCCGCAAGTTCTCCCCAAGCTATTCATTCGTTATAACCTTATACTATGGGCATACCCCTGAGGGCCATATAAATTTAAGAAGCAACAGGAGCTATCAATTGCTTCTGCCGATAGGATTTCTTTAATAAAGACCTATTACAAAACTTAAACAAAAGTAAGCATCGCAGAAAGAGAGCCATAAGAGAGCTTATCTTGGAAATTATTACAGATTACTTCTGCAGGGCAAACAAAGAGCATATAGTGCGTTGAACCTGCAAAAAAAAGGGTCTGGCCGGGGATTGAACCCGGGACCTCTCGCAAGCAATGCTGTAGGGTGAACCCTAAGCGAGAATCATACCGCTAGACCACCAGACCAGTCAAGTTAGGGTACCCAACTTGGGACGACAACGACAGGACTCGAACCTGTGACCCCGAAGGGATATGATTTCTAGTCATACGCTTTAACCACTCAGCCACGTTGCCAGTGCTTGATGAATTGTTGAAAATATGGAGTTGGAAGTGGGTTGATGTACGAAAGTTTGCTTTGTAGTAGCTTTGCAAGGTGATGTTGGCACTAGGAATCCGAGAACCAAAAGTGTGTGTGGGCGGCAGGGTTTTATCAAGTGGATTCGTGGTGTGCGCTAAAAGTAGATTGCCGAGCCGGGCGAGTAGTGTATTACCTAACCAATCCAGATCAACATTGTGTTTGAATAGCACTAGATATCCTATAAAAAAAACCGGAAAATTACAAATCTTCAAATAGCCAAGCAACCGTTTCATGAGTGAATAGGTTTTCTATGGGTTAAATAAGAAAAAAAGATTTTGGTTGTAACTCCTAGTTAACTTAGGAGGCATCAGGAATTGAGCCCGATGCGGGGGTCGAACCTATTCAAGATTGTTAGTATTTTGAAGCTACACTCGTATTTTCGAACATGCTACTCACCCGCAACCTTGAGATTAAGAGTCTCACGCTCTACCGATTGAGCTAACCGGGCGCTTGATGGTGAGTCGGGAGGGTATCAATACTAATGTTGCGGAGCACCCGTAGGAAATGGGCGTGACGGTACGCTAGCGTTAAGCAAACACACCTTGTCCGCCCCCGGGCCACGCCAACGATTCTACGATTCGTGCCCATCTTACAATAGAACTAGATTCTCGAGACGTTCTCAGTCTTTGTGGAGTCTAAAGAAGGCGATATCATGATTAAATATCGAATAGTCTAGGTGCTTTCCCGTTTCTCGGAATGAATAAAACGCTCTGTTGCTCGAGATGTTGCCTCCTCTATTATATTAACTTGAAATTGAGGGTTCTAGGTTTACGAGCTACGCTAAGGAAACAGTTGTGATTTACTGACTTAGAGACCAAAGATATAAATAGAGCGACATTAAGTAACGAAACGATAACCAATCCGGGCGAAAATAATAAAAACAGCAATATCGCATCAGCCCAGTTTGATGAGAATTTGATTGGCTTGGTTAGGCACTGCAAGAGAAACTGATCAAAGTTTACGTGGCATAAAAGCCCCATCCAGTTAGAAGTTATATCATATCTCAGCTCTTTCGCCCAGAGGTCGATAGTATATCGTACCAGCATTTTATCGTCCTGTCTTTGGTAGAAGCTAGTTGCCGGCTATTTTCTCGTCGACTTTCTTTATCGCTTCGTGGAGTAAATCGTGGTAATTGTCTCTATCAACAACACAGTCCAGGCCAGGGGTTGTTGTTTGCTAACAATGGGTCGTTACCTCACCGGCTTACAAAGCATACACCATTTGGAGCAGCGAATTACCTCGTCTCAGGATATTATCGACTGTTTGTCGCGGTTCTTGTTGCTAGTAGTCTTGGAAATGGCTTTCATTAACGCACAGAAAAGAGATTTCTCTGGACTACTAAACTCCACGCAGATAACTTGTATAAATGTTTTTATACTGGTGCTATGACTTATGCGGTTTGGCATCGAGATACCGTTTCTTTTCTTGAAGTATGCATCAAGCCGGACTTTTACGTCCTAATCGGATACGGCTTGAAACGAGTGCAGGTAGCCGCAAAGTGCAGGGGCCGCGAATAAACCACTGGTGGCAGCACCAAGAGTAAACAAGATGAGAGAATTGACAAAGGACATAGATATTTCGAATAACGGTAGCTCAAGCGTGAGTAGAAGCTACACACATCCATTGGAATTTTCTATGAACTTATGCGGGCGAGTATTAATATTGAGAAGTAAGAGACTAGGACAATTAGGCATAGATGACAAAGTCTCCTTAAATAGCACGTAACACCAGGAAAAAATAGCAATATTTTAAAGGCGAAATTCGTTGATGTATCAATGAAAGCGAAAATAATTAGGGCTAAATATATTCTATACGCTATCGTAGATTAAGAGATATTCAATAGTTAAATATTCAAACTCCGCTATTTGACCGTTTCGTTGTTGGTATAAACAGTATCAACTTTCCTTATAACTCTTCTATAGGTAGTATGTGTGCTCCTATTAAAGTATGCAGCTCGATGTTTGTATTGTGCTTCCTCTTCTACAGCTTTCTGCATACCAAAACATACACGTATTACGCTCGCGTTCACCTTCCCTTTACTGTCAACCCTTGTAGAACTTTTTGACAACAAGCCCTGTGCTCCATACCACGGATCACGAATTTACATACTTGCGCAAGAGGCCAACGGTAATATGGAAATATGTTAAGTCAAGCCGTATTTACTAATATCTACACTGAGATTATTTCTCTCTGCGTAATCTGTTAAAACCTAGGTATTGGGGTAAGATGATATTTGTTGCACAGAGAGAGTCTAGCTCTAGCAAGCATATTGATCACTATTATATGCAAAGCACATTTTTTAAGAGATATAACAGTAGGTTATAGTCCTAGCTGTAGTAGGTAGGTAGGCATTGGTTCTAGTAGTGGGTATAAAACACAACAGATGATTCGCTTTCCATACCCGTTTACGGTAATCCCTTTAGCTTTGTGCGGTGAGTCGAGTCTCACAGAGTTCGAGCTCGCCATAGTATTTCTTATGCCCCGGCACGGCAGCAAATGCCTTCATGTAAGCAACTAGGTTTGGAAGGCCTTTGCGCATTTCGGTATCCACCAGGTACTTGAAGGCGTGATATAACATGCTGGTAACCATCAAGTCGGCCATCGTCAATTGATCCCCAACGAGGTACTTTTTGCCACCCCGTAGGACAACTTCAAGATACTTGAGGTCTCGCTCCAAGTGTGCAACGCTGTCATTGAAACGATGCTCATCTAGGCGATAGAATTTCACTAATCGCATGGTATCAGTGGTCAGTCCTTTAGGAATTGGGGTAATTCGACAACGATGATGAGGGTGATAAGGGTTTTCTCGGGTAGTGATGAGATTATATCACTTACAGCCAACCATAGCAACTGGGATAAATGCGTGCTGGAACAGCTCGCCCTCAGTGAAGGATGCCCATTGTGTAATGAGGGCCTGGGTCTTATCATCTACGAAACCGAGACTTTAGTCTTATTGGCCATTATACAACGGCGAACAGCTTACCCGCGCCAAGTAGTTGACTAGCTTTGGGGCCAGACTTCGCGATGTAAGTCGCGATAGCGATGCTCTCAGTCAGGTAAAGGCCATCGGCACCCTCAAAGGCCGGGACCTTGCCAAGCGGGAATTTGGCCAAGAACTCAGGAGTCATGTTGGTTTCGCCCATGGTGAATTGCGGGGTTTCTATCTCTAGACCACTCATATCGGCAATGATCAATGCCTAGGCCATGTAATTAGTGAATTGATGCCACGAACGGGACCTACTTGAGGAAAATGGTCCGTTCACATTAGGAATAAAAGGCAAGCAAATGGATGTCTTACCCGATGGACACGGATGTTGTCGGGATATGTGTGAATCTTGCCAAAGGGAGCCATATTGAAGGGATTTCACGAGATGTTGACGGTTTCAGTCGGAATTGAGTAGAGAACGAAGGGAGATGTTGCGAGAAGGGGGTGGTATGTTGCAATCGAGAGTAGTGTGAACTAGTATGTAGACGAATAGAGAGAATTCGAGGGCCGGACCACTTGGCTTTTAAAGCGTGTCTACTAGTGTGTATCTGTGTGCCTCCAGGAGGTCGTGTGTGGTCGATAGTGTTTACCTAATGTTGACACTCCGCTCCTATTTGTAAGCAGTTGCCGGTTATCATATTGAGCATACCATCAGACCGCTACACGTAGCCAGGTGGCAGTTGTTCCATGGCTTCAGCAGGTGAGTTCAATTCCTCCGGCTTACAGAGGCAAAAGTATCTTATAGGTCGTCCTAAGCCGAAACTGGCTGGGTGGTTTCAACAAGGGACAAGCTGGACTATGCTCCTATCTTATGCATTAGTCAGTCACACTCTGGACCGGGGAATCACCATCGAGCATCGTGCATGTGCGTGTACACAAGGTGTAATAGGCAACGGGAACTACCCCACGGTACATTTGGCGATACCCAAGCTTCGAAGGGTGGAGGGGCGGGAGAGCCCAAAACTACATGTAGCGATGGATACGTACACATCGGTGATTGTCTAACCACTACACTAGATATGCATATAATTTTCTACTCTATAAGCGATCTCCGTTTGCTCTATTTTGCCGGGAAATCGCACTAGTCCTCAGAGTCCTACTAGGTTTTAATATGAGCCTTTTTCTTTTTCTTTTTCTTGTAGATAGGGGGTAGTAATTGGGACATATATGCCATCTAGAATGGGGGTTTCACTTAGAGGCGGCGAGGCTGAACAGAGCCGCAGACTACGCCTTTCGTAGAGAGACCACTCGCCATTTAGTTTAGCTCAGTAATGAACCCCAAAAGCTCACTCCTATCTACCTACGAACAAAGAGGAGAGTCACTCTCTGGGATCAGGTAAACATGCTACTCATTCTTCACTCAGGTTCTGCACTTCCTGGGATGTGCTGTCTTCGTTATGCAGGGCACTCTCACAAGGTTGGCGGTGTAATGACTCTCCGCATTTGTCAGCTGAATGTACATACGATGAATAGTTTGAGCATACAACCCCGATCTCCGGATTTCTCCATACTTCAGGGGTACAGTGGTAGGAAAACTCGTCGACGTCATTCGCCTGTTTCAAACCGGGAGCTTAGAGAGGAGCACTCGTACGATGAACGATGGTAGGTGGCAGCGGAAAATCATTCATGCTAGTACCCTTCATAGACCTGAATGACTAATACGATATACCCTTTAACGCCTTCCAATATCTGGACGACGGCGGCAAAGTATAAAAGTTATTCACAGGGGTTATTTACCAACCCCCTCCTTTCTTTCCCTTTCCCCCCTCTTCTCTAAACCTATTCGCACACTAGTAGCGCCAATACCTACCTACCTGCAATGATCGTCGGTCGCGTGACGAGATCCTGATAGTATGGCGCCTCATTTATCATGGTTATTGGTAGCTCTAGCAGAAATTTGAAAGGACTCTGTGCAATTATATCTATATAAGTACTAGGGTAGAATTGGGTTGAAGACTGGATTGTGTTGAAGTGGATATGTGCCTCTTTGGATGGAGAATGCGGTTTTAGATGTGCCACGATTGCGGGGAGAGCTTCGGTAGCATCAGACACTAGTCTAGACTAAGACTAGACCGGCGATAATGCTTGAATGCTCTCCACCATCATCGGGACTCCGCCAGCCCTAGTTCTTTTATTTATAGGTGTTTACGCCTCGACCAACCTCGTTCCAACTACTAGCTAAGTTTTTATCATCTTGTCTTAGAGATATTGACGATTAGAAATGACTCTCATAGAGATTGACGTTGTGTACGACTTTGTCTGCGCTATATGTGCTTACTACTTCCCTATTCTCGGTTGAACTAGGACTAGCAAGCTAAAGCGATTCACGATGCTATTTGTTAGTGGTGTTACATCGACAAGCGAAAGCTAGAGGGTGCCATCGCCTTATATCAGAAAGTCTACCCAGGAGGAAAGCATGATACTTTCAAAATTAACTGGCGTCCATATTATCTGGGTTATAA